TGCCACCACCAGCCACCCACCACCACCAGCCACCTGTCACCCACTCACCCGCCACCACCACCACCCACTCGCTACCACCCACCACCCGCCACCGTCACCCACCCACCTGCCACCACCTACCACCACCAGCTACCCACCACCCACCGTCACCACTTTCCACCACCGTCTTCCGCCGCCACTTGCCACCACTTGCCATTTCTCACTCTTTTTTATATTTTAAATTTTTTTTAAACATTTTGTCAATTACCAAACGCGTTTGTAGTTTATGTTTTTTTCAAAATAAACAAAAACCAGTTTATAAAATTTTTGTAAATATAAATTGAAAACGTAAACGTTACCAAACACACCCTTAAAAATTGATTTTTTTGACCTTTTTTGAAAAAATATATAAAAAAAATGTGAGAAATGATAAGTTTTCGTACTATTTATCTCAAAAACTACTCTACAAACACAAATCAAACACATCCCGATGTGATCCAAAATGAATTAAAAGTTAAAAAGTGAATTTTAATCCACTTTTCAAAATAAGCCTTAGTCTCCAAACGAGGCCGCATAGAGAATATCGGAATTCATGGGACTTATTTGCTAATATTCAACTTTTGTTCTTGAATTTATTTTAGTTTTTATAATTTTAATTGATTTACTTTTGATTTTGAATTTATAATTTGGATAATTTTATTTACACACCATCGATTCTCTCAGTACACACAATTACTTAGTACACTGTATAATAATTTTTAGATTGTGAAAATATCTCAATTCAAACTATAATGGCGAAGATTATAATGGCGAAGATGATGAGTGTGGTGTGCTACATTACAATGGTGAAACTGATAAGTGTAATGTGTTAGATTATATTAAGTATGTCTTATAATTTTGATTCAATTGATCAAATTGTTAGTATTTTTTTTTTTTATTTTTTTTTTATTTTTTTGAAAAATGCATACATAAGCAATATGTGTTATATTTTTATAAACAAAATTGTTAATTTGTTCAACTAGTGAGTTAATTTTGAATAACGCTATATGCACCACTTGATATATCAATTAGTGTATTAACAAATAATGTGACATAATTTTAGAGGTATTGGATATTTCTAATTTGTATAATGGATGGGGTCATAATTTTAAAATAATAATGTCATGGTATATGTTGGTATACTAATTGATACGTGTAGTACCACTGATTAAAAAAAGTCAATAATTGTTAATTTTCAACGACAGTTTAAAAATTTTATCACAAAAAATATCAGTAATTATAAGTTTTAGTAACAGTTTCAAAAAATCATCATAAAAAAAATCATTAATTTTCAATTTTCAACGATAGCTTGAAAAA